TGGCTCAAATACACGAAGGGGGGGGGGGGGGAACCCGCCCGCCCACCCTCCTTACGTGTATTTGAGCCAATCGGGACTTTCGCGCATGGGCATGGAGCATATGGATTGTGCGATGCTCCACCGAGCAACTGGAGCGTTGCGGGCAGTAAGTATGCATGCGCAATCTGCGCATGTGCTGTGTGCCTGCACGTGGTGGACGCCGGGCCTCACTGCAGCCAACCGGTTGCAATGGGATCAGGAACCCACCACTGGTTTGGGGGAAAGTTGGAGCAATAAAGGGGAGTTTGAACTCTCAGCTGATCATGTTGCCTCTGTGCCTTGCCCCGGGTCATCACACAGTCCCTTGCACTCAAAAGGTTGCGGGCTGCTGTTCTAACAACCTACTAGAAGGCCAAAGTAATCTCTAGACCAAACTAGGAATTCTGCAGGTGTGTTGTGAGAATGATCTACATCTAATGTAGAAAGCTGCACAGGTAAAACTCCAGTACAAATATTTTAATTACAGAAGAGTAACTTTAAACTTAAGATGTATTCTTAAGAGAATATATCACTTTAGACTTAAGAGAGATATTCAAATGATTTGTGATTTATGCCATTGTGTGAAAATTTTCGCAAAAGTAGACAGCTATTAACACATACACTCAAAAGGATGGGACTTGTATCATAACACATCCAACATTTTGCTAATTATGAATCTCTCCCCACACATAACTCTAGATTAGACAGTATGCATAGCTTTGAGAACCAAGATTTACAAACCATGACATTTCAAGATTTAATAAATGCAACTCAAGGGACGAAAAATGTCAGGAGTAACTCATTAATCGTGAAACACTGTGCACATTTAATGAACTCACCGACCAAAGATGGGATTTAGTTGCTTTGGAATGTATCTGTCTCGGTCCTTAATTTGGGTTTCCCCCAATTTCAGTACAATATATGGATCAGATTTACCATCCGGGTCAGCAGGACTAAGATTAAAGGCCTGCAAAAAAATTGAAAAAAACATTATTTAATAAACGCTCTTCTGTTCATTAAAGCTGGTTTTAAAGACAAACTTCGGATAGGGGGTTGGACTTGAAGTCCTCCAAGGTCCCATCTAGCCATAGGATTCTATGATTCCATGAACCAAGGTGGGCTCTGAGGCAGGGGTGGGTTACTAAGCAGTTTACTACCGGTTCGCTGAGAGGGCGTTTTGCTCGCGCGCGCGCCCACCACACATGGCTGCACATGCACAGTTGACTAAAAACTGTTCTGCACATGCGCGGAAACATGCCGGCAATGGCAGAAGAAACCAGGGAACTGGTTCGAGGGCGTGGCAGGCTGGGTCGCTGCCAGTTCCAGCGCCTCATGCCGCCATACCATTACCGGTTCAGCTGAACCAGTCCGAACTGGTAAGAACCCACCACTGCTCTGAGGGCACCAATCATACCAGGGCAACAAAACAGGAACACAGCTGCCTGCACTTCCTTTTCCTCTCCCTCACCTGCAAACACTGTTTCTATTGATCTGGCTGCACCCAAACAGAATACATAAACAAACCTGTTAAACCACATCTCTTTTTTTCAGGGTGATGCTGCATCTGTGAAGGGCAGATGTG